TAGTCCCCGCCCGGGGGTGGCGCATGCGCGCAGGGTGGCGGCCAGCGAGGCACCGGCGTGCACGGACCCCTGTGCAACCCCTGTGCACACGTGTGGGTGTGCAACAGGGAGCTGGTGTGCACGGACCCCTGGGCAACATGGAGCCGGTGCGCACGCGTGCAGGTGTGCAACAGGGAGCTGGTGTGCACGGACCCCTGGGCAACATGGAGCCGGTGCGCACGTGTGCAGGTGTGCAATAGGGAGCTGGTGTGCATGGGCCCCCAGGCAACACGGAGCAGGTGTGCACGCATGCGGGTGTGCAACGTGCAGGTGTGCAACAGGGAGCTGGTGTGCACGGACCCCTGGGCAACATGGAGCCGGTGCGCACGTGTGCAGGTGTGCAATAGGGAGCTGGTGTGCATGGACCCCCAGGCAACACGGAGCAGGTGTGCACGCATGCGGGTGTGCAATAGGGAGCTGGTGTGCATGGACCCCCAGGCAACACGGAGCAGGTGTGCACACATATGGGTGTGTGACAGGGTGTCTGGGTGCACAGACCCCTTTGCACCAGGGAGCTGTTGTGCACACAGATGAGTGCACAGAGACCACTGCGCAGTGAGGAGCCAGTGTGCACACCGAGCAGTGTGCAAAAGCTGCTGGTGTGCACAGACTCTTGTGCAACAGGCCTGCATACGGGAGTGGAAAGGGTGTCAGGGTGCGCAGAGCCTTGTAGAGCAGTGAGCCCATGTGCACACTGACGAGCGTGCAACAGTGAGCTGCTGTGCAGGGACCCCTGTGCAAGGGGGAAGCTGGAACGCACACAGATCAGTGTGCAACGGGTGTCAGCGTGCATAGGCCTCTGTGCCACGAGGAGTCAGTGTGCAGGGTCAGTGCGCAACGAGGTGCCAGTGCATAGCAATCCTTGTGCAACGGAGTGCAAGAGTACAGGGATCAGCATGCAACACAGTGCTGGTGTGCAGGAAAGCGTGCAGCTGGTGCCCCTGTGTGTGTGCGCAGAGATCCTCATGCAACAGGCTGTCCCTGTGCACACGAATCCGTGCGCAGCAGGGCTGCCAGCGTACGCAGGGATCCGTGTGCACCAGGGCACATGCGCGTTCGTGGATCAGCGTGTAGTGAGGCACTGATATGCACACAGGTCCCCGTGCAGCAGGACTGTCAGCGCACACGGATCAGTGCAACAGAACCACGAGCACATGCACAGATCCCTGTGCAAAGGGACTGCCACTGTCTGGCACGAATTCTGGTGCAACAGGGGCACTGGCGCACGCACGGATCAGCGTGCACTCCTGCTTGAAGTGACGAGGTTCGGCGTGCACCAGGCCAACCTGTCAGCACACCGAGCAGCGTGCAACGGGCTGCTTTGGGGAGGAAATAAGGAGAGCGACACGCCAAGGAAGGCACAGAGGGAAACCCAGCAGCACCTCCTGAGCTTTGCAAAGCACCAGAAGCACGCAGGTCTCGAACCAACCATTGTCGGGTTTGCTTTTGGTTTTCTAAGCATGCTGAAAACAGCAGGCTCCCAAGAAATCAGATGGGGAGAAGGGATCTGCGGAAACACTTTTTATTTTCTTTAAAATAAAAAAAAAAAAAAAAAGAGAGGGCTGCTGAGCTCGGTGTGCGGAGCAGCCAGGGGTAACACATCCAGCGCCCGGACAGCATCTCGTCCCTGTGCTCGCCTCCAGCTATCCCAAGGAGTCCAGCGCTGAGCAGTGTCAGCTTCCAATACTTCACCTTCCGTAACAGCCTTCCCTGCCACCTCAGACATTTGGCAGTTGCACAAGAGAAGATGTGAGGGAGGAGATGGAGGCAGTTCGGGTTGGGATGCTTCGGGAATCACCAGTCAACAGGAGGCTCACCTGCGCCGTTGTCATCTGTGACGGTGCTTCTATCGCAAGCATTGACCGGTCACAGCTGCTTCCCCCCGCGGGGGCTCCACGGACCCCCCTCCACCAGCAGGGCAGGAGTCTCGGGGTCTGACACGCTACAAGCAATACTCGCTCCCCCAAGCTCACAGGCCATCTCGCAAAGGCGCCAACTTTGCGGTCCAACAGCTCATCAGAGCTCAGGGGAAGACGGGTCCGTCTGTCCCTGCGGAGCGGGCACCCAGAGCTCCGCGTTGTTGCGGACGATGGTGAAGAGGCTGACGACGGCGAGCAGTGCCATCACCATCATCACGGAGCAGATGGTGAACATGTTCCTGGTGCCCGTCTTGTAGTCACTGTCGTGGAGGATGAGCATGCCGAGACAGGCCAGCAGGTTCAGGGGGACGCGGAACCAGTTCATCACTCCCACCTGGTCCTTCTCCGGGATCACCTTCCGCCGGAGGAAGCCCATGGCAGGGAAGTAGAGCCCGCAGGAGAGCTCGATGAGCAGGAAAGCCAGGAAGGATTCAGAAGGGCTCTCCTGGCCAGGGTTGGTGGAGAAAGTGAGCATGAAGAGGGAGAAGAAAACCATGAGGACAGAGAGCGAGAGGATGTGGATGGGCTGGAGGTGGTACCTTTTGGAGATGGCAATCCGATAGAGAGAAGAGCCCACCATGCTAGCTGCCATGAAGCTGGAGAAAACAATGCCCAAAGGTGAGCCGTGAGGATCCAGCACAGGTGTCCAGAGGAAGATGAAGATGTAGATGACGCTCTCAAACAAAGCCTGGATGGTGCCCAGGAGCAGGACGCGCCGGTCTGAGAGGAGGCACTTCAAGCCATCCATGCAGGTCTTGGAGAGTGCCCTCTTCTTCCCATAGTTCTCATCCCAGTTTTTCATGGCAAAGATGCCCGTCAGCATGAGGAGGGGGATGGAGACCATGAAAGGGGCCACCGGGCCCAGGCCCAGCCACTCCGCAAAGAAGTTGGCTGCCACCCCGGCCCCAATGGCAATGACATTGTTCCAGAAAGCAGCTCGCGAGAAGGTGGCGGGGATCCACTCCGCCGGGAAGTCGTAGCGCTCCACGTGCTCATGAACGTACCATGCCTCGAAGGCGGAGAACAGGAGCGCTGTGGACAAGCCGCCTAATATCCTCCCGACCACCAGGACAAAGTAATCCCAGGAGAGTTTGGTGAGGCAGCAGACCGAGTAGGTCAAAGAAAAGAGGATGCAGGATTTCTTCCGGCCCAGCCAATCCACCAGGGACGTAGAGACCAGCCCAAAGAGGACACTGGAGGCAAAGCCACACACGTAGATGATGGCAATCTGCCCCTCCAGGAAGCGGTAGTGCTGGTAGAGTTTGTAGAGGCAGGGGCCCTGCAGCCAGTCGGCGGCCAGAGCCAGGAAATACACCTGGTAGTAGTCCCGCTGGAACTGGAGGAAAGCCGGGTTGGTGCACGCGCTACCGGTGAGCTTGGAGCGGCAGGCGGAGAACTCCAAGCCCAAGCATACGGCCAAGAGGACGGCGAAGGCGGCATAGGCGGTGAAGAGCATGGTGCCTCAGAGCGTCACGGGCATCTCTGGGAGAGGGCTACCGCGAAGCTCCTGAGAGAGGAGAAGAAAATGCCGTGACATCCGGATGGGAGGTGCACTGCTCTGCAGGAGTGGCCCCGAAGCAACCGCTCTGCTGCTCTGCCCACGCAAGCCGGGACACCTGGGCACCCCAAGGCCATCCTTCCTCAGCAGCTGATTTTGAACTGTCAGCCCTCAAAGCTCTTGGACCCTGGGTCAGATGCCCATGAGGACACAAGCCGCAGGCAGAGCTGACTCCGGCTGGGAGATGGGAAGGGCTGCGGCAGACGGGAAGGGCTGCATTTACTGCAGAGCCACAGGGTGGAGCGAAGCAGTTACGAAACTCGGTCTGAGAAGCAGGAAAAACTCCACAGGACACTGGTCTGCCAGGTCACAGACTGGTCTCCATAAAGGCAACACCAGAAGTGCCATCACTCAGAAATGGAGAGTGCAAAGCCCATCCTGGGGCTCCTCCGCGATCGCTCGTAGGAGCCTCCTTGTCCCTCTACCTCTGCTCCCCAGTGACAAGCCGATCCGCAGAGGCGGAGGAAAGGACAGCTCCACCTCCAGCCAAGCCTCAACCCTCCACCCCATTGTACACTAATTTCTGCCTCTCTGCCAGGAGGTGAAGCTACAGTCCCCATCTGCAGCGTTCCCCACAGTGACCTGCCATCCCAGCCTGTCCCTTGGGGCTCGGCTGTGGCTCCTCCCCTGGCGGCCGCCCCATCCTGCTCCCATCTGCGCCGTGAGCACAAGCCCTAGAAGAAGCGGTCCGCAGTGAGAACAAGGCCGTTGGCAGCACAGTTGGTTTCAGACTCTTTGATGACTCTCCTGTGCCTACCCAGAAAGCCAAGGGGTTCAGGGCAAATTGCAAACAGAAAAGCTGTTTAATAGCAGGAAAAATAAAGTCACATCCTGTTTTATTTGCATTCTATGGGGATGGGATAGTCCTCAGGGTAAGAAAAAGCACGTGATATGCCGGGAGGACTGACGAGATCCAGGATCTGTCTGTCAAGGGTTTGGCTTCACTCCTAAACCAAGTGTTTGAACAGAAGTGCTAAAACAGCCTAAGAAAAAAATCCAAAAAACTAAAACCTCTGGTTTCCCAGTTGTATTATGTCCAGAGCCTGCCTGTCCCCAGGCACTACAGAGGCTGTCCCCTGCTCCTGTCCCTAATCCTCATTTCCAGCCTGCCCCTCACATCTTCCTCGCTGCTGCCTTGCAGCCGGATCTTTCCAGGTGACTTAAAAAAAAAAAAAATAAATAAGGCGAACAGGTCTGTGTAGTCGCAGGGCAGGGCTGGGCAGGCAGCCAGGGCCACCACCGTCTCACCCTGTCACCTGTCCCCAGCTCACCTGGGTGGTCTCTGCTCCAGGGGAAGCCCCGCAGCATCCGGACGGTCCTATGGGTGGCAACCAGCTCCCGGAGATGCCAGGCCCCCGCCGTGAGCCGCTGTCCTGCCAGAGCGGACGTCCCCCTGATCCCGGGGCGTGAGAAAACAGGGTGAGGGACTGTCCCTGCTGCCGGGAGACGGGTGAAGACCGTGAGTGGCCGCAAGTTTTGAGCATGGGAGGCCTCAGGCAAAGCCACCAAGCCAACGGCAGCTCCAGCCCCCGCCGCCCCCGGGGCAGCCCGTTCACCAAAAGCACCTC